ACTGCATGGTTTTGATCTGCTTGGGGGAAAGAATAAATGAAGACAGTGAAGAGCTCAAGATAACTTTGACCATAACAGATTATTGGACTCCCTAAATAAAGAGACTGTTGCCTTGTTTCGTGATCCTATTTCCTAGAATTGTGTGTCAGGAAATTAAAATTTGGGTCTTATGGAATTATAGAATGTCTATATAAAGGAATATGGAAAGGAAAGTATGTGGCAATTTATTTTATCACATGGAAAAGGAAGATAATCTTGGTATATCTCCAGGTTTGATTAGACCTCTTCAGCAGGAATAATTAGGAGGAAGGTAAGTTGAGAATTTTGTGGCATAGATGTTGTTCTACTTACTTAAAACAATTAAAATTTAGAAAGATAGTTTGACCTCATTCAGTGTAATTATTTATAAGTTGTCATCCCTATGGAGCTCTTTGAAAGCAGAGACTTTGTTTGTACCCCTCTTACTTAGCTCAGTGACTTACTTTTTAATTGATTCAATAAATGTAAGGTTTAAAATAGAAAAAATTATGTTGGCTTCCTCCTTAATTCTTGTCCTTAGGGATCACTACACTGAGATGAATGAAATTTTTTAGACCTATTCAGAAGGTCTGTAAGTGGTACCAGGTAATATCTTTGGCATGTACACATTTAGCAGTACTGAGCCATGTGATATCAGCACTTATTTTTGTGTGGGTTTTCATTAAATCAATAGACTCACTTCTTAGATCTTTGATTTATCTTTTTGACAGGTTTATTCTTAGGCATTCTCAGAAATTCACTTAGGTGAACATCATTTTTCCATGCCCCTTCCAGTGCACTTATTCCCAGTGGTACTTGATAGGTCTCGATCTAATATTCACTTTCAGAGATGGTGGGTACCAGAGAGTCAGGGCCAAGCCCATATCTTGAAGAAGTAGGTTTGTCCTTTCTGATAGAGACATGACGACGAGGCAAGCTCTTCTTAGAAACAGAGATGCTTCTTTCTGCTTTTTATTCTCCTTATTCAGGCTGTGTCATCAGCTGATAAATTCACTGACTTTATGTCTAGGACAGTTATTGCTTGAGCACAATTTAAATTCAAAGATGAAGAGAAGACTTTTCTTTGTGCTCATCCTGTGTTGGCATGTTTTGTAGATTCAGTACTGGGGGCTCTTGCTGAGGCTGAAGGATATCCAGAAGGTTATAGGACCTTACATGTATAGAATCAAGGGATGTTTTAAAAAATGCTTTTTAGGGGAATATTCAATGTCCATTTGTCCTTTATCTCCAGGTACACCTACACCTAATATATCATTATTTGTATACCTGTGTGTAATGTCTCTCAACCTTAACATGTCAAAATGAGCTTATCTTATTACTACTTTATACTCAGCTACCTCTTGCATGTTTTCCCTTTGTGTGCTGGAAAGAGTACTGGACTCAGAGTCAAGAGACCTGTGTTTAAATCCTTTCTCCACCAATTACTAGCGGGGTGACTTTTGGCAAGTTATTTCATCTCTCTGCATCTCAGTGCTTCCTCGTTAGTATTGTGATGTATAAAAAATTCAAGAAACATAATTTCTGGTTAATTAATCATTTTATTAATTATGGCTAATGAATAATTAATAAAAAATTGTCATTTGACCTTCTCTTGTAAACTAAAGATGATTGTGATGGTCTCATGGTGCTTATATGCCCTTGGAAGAGTAGGTATTCCCAACAGGCAGCAATCAACTAGTTAACTGTTTGGTTGTTAACAATCAGTTGGTTAACAATTAATGAGAAGAATGAATATTATATAATGAGAGGTGGACCTATTCTAATAAGAGAGTGAGGGTGTGACTTTGATTATGTCACTCTTACTCCCAGACCACCCCAAGCCTCAAGCTTCGACAGTCTAAACAAAGGATCAAGCCCCAACCCAAGCCTGAGTAAAACACTATGGGCTTTTCCAGTTGGGCTGAGTCTGAACCAGATCTAGGAAAATGTTAAATCCAATCTCATTATAGGCAATAGGAAGGGAAAAAATCTTGAATCTCCCCAATATTAACAATTGATTATTTAATAATCATTTCTCTCAGTATAATGGGGCAATAATACTTGTACTACCTACATTATAGGGTTGGCATGTAAAACACGTCCTGTAAAGCTTGAAGTGGTATAGAAATAACAGCTAATGAGATGAGGCATAGTGTAGTGGCTGGAGAGCTGGGCTTGAATCTGGTAGACCCAAATTCCAGTCTTGCTTCTGACACAAACTGGCTGTGCATCCATAGGTAAGACATTTAACCAATGCCCAAAACAACCTTCTAAGGGTATGATTTACAGAGTAGATTCAGATCAGCATTGGTAGCCCCTCTTTAGAAATGTCTTATACCAGTGAAATTATAGGTCTAATCAAAAAAGAAGGCCCTTACAATTAGAAATATAAGTTGTTATTGTCTTCATCAGCACTACCACCCTTCTGGTTCTCTGGGTAAACTGATCGTGTCAATTTGTCATTCGTCTTTCTTTTTTGCCTTCTCCACATCCAAGCCATTAGTCAGTGTAGTCAACAAGCATGTATTTAGTGCTTACTTTGAGGCAAAGGATACGACGAAAGGCAAAAATGGTCCTTGCTTTCAGGAATTAACTGAGTTAAGTGAATGAAGAATGGCTGAGGTTGGGGGAGAGACTTAAGGCAGGAACACTAACCAGAAGCTATTTTAATAGCCCAGGGGTGAGATGATCAGGGCCTGTACCTAGTTTGTGTGAGTGAAGAGGATATGAATATGGAAAAAGTTGTGAAGAAGAGGGGATCCCGGTGGGAAGGGATGAGATCAAGGATGCATGTAGAGGGATCAGCTTTGTTAAGGACAAGGGCCACTTCACTGGAGACAGTAGTGAAGGAGGAAATAGTGGGGGAGCATGTTTGAATGATGTGAGATTTGGTGGAGGGGAGAAGATAGAGCTCTCAGGAATGGCCTCAGATATTCCGGGTGAACTATGATGCAGGCTCTTTGGCTGAGGGGGTAAGGGGAAGGAGTACTGTGAAAGGCTTGAGGAGAGATATGGTCTAGAACAGCTGCTTTGGGGAGTGGCATAGGCAGTCAGTTAGGGAGGAATAGAATGTTAGCTCTGCTGCAGAGTAGGCCCAGCGGAGAGTAGATGACATGAATTTGTAGTGTCTCTAGTCACCAGAATTTAGCAATTTCTTCAGTTCCATTTGTCAGTATGAGAGTAAGAGCTTAGAATGTAGAGAGTGAGAAGGCCATCGGTTTGGGGTTTGGTATGGAGTAATCAGAAATAGGACAGGGGGAGCAGGGGATACAGGAGATGTAGAACTACCAAATTCTGCCAATTATTTCAACACAACCTCTTTAAGCTTTGTAGTGGCCTCTTCTCTGCTTTTCAGACGTATCTCTCCCCTCTGCAGTCTGCCCTCTATACAGCAACCAGCATAATTATTAGACACTTGCCTGTTTCAAAACATACAATGACTCCTTAGTGCTTTTGGATTAAATCCAATCTCAGCCTGTCATCCAGGACCTTGTGCCAACTTGCTTATTTATGCCATCCCATCTAATTCCTTATTACTCCTTTCTGTGACCTCCATCTAGCTTCATTTTACTAGCAACAGCTTCTTCCTATTTCTCTGTGCATTACACATTTAATTCATCCTCCTTGGAATGTCCTCAGCTCTCCTTTCTTCCAATTTGTATTTTCATTTTCAAAATAAACCTCTAGAGCTCACCTTCTGTGATTAACCCAGTGTGATTCTGTTCCCTCCTTTACTAGGTGCTCTCAGGTATTTATACAGTCAGTATATTTTGTGTTAATTTGTATTTGAGAAAATAAATTGAATATTGAATGTTAGCCCATAAAGAGCCCTTCAGGTATATTTCATCTGGTTTTTTTTCCCCCTGTTTTCTTATCTAGTTGGCCAGTTCACACTGTTCATTCATACTGATCTTGCAATCTAGTAAAACTCAGTTTTTTTCCTCACATGACCAGTTGTCTAGCCATGCCTTTATCCTATATGCATACAAGTGATTTGGGGAACCCAAGTGCAGTGTTTTTGTAGTGAGCTCTTACTTGATACCGAATCATCAGCAATGCTGAAACAGGAAGAAATCACTTAATTGTGCTGATTGGGTGGGGACACTGCAAATTTGTGTCATCTGCTCTCATCTGGGCCAGCTCTGCATCAGGGCTGACATTATATTCCTCTCAAATTGATTCCCTATCCTACTCCCTAAAGTAGCTGTTGTAAACCTTGTTAAATGAAAGATGAAATCCAAGTTTGATTTCTAGTTTAAAGTGAAATTCCTCCCCCCAGATTCTCCATTTACCCAGTAGATAGCACTTCAGTATTATTAAAATGCACTTGTTCAGTCACCTAAAATAAACTTACCTTGAGTGCTGTTGATTTTGAGGGCTGTTTTACTTATAGCACTGGGGTGGCAAAAAACTATGAGACCAGAAACTAAATGAAATTTTATCCCCGGGGACTTCAGACAAGCCTTAGGAAGCCACATTCTGTGACATCTAGATCAATTATTGGCCAGAAGGTTTGGGTGTGCTGTTATTATCCCCACATCCCCTGTTGTGTTGAACAGTTCTTACAAATTCTTCTGTGTCTCAGAATGCGCTGCCATCTTCCTTTCCTAGTAAAGAACATGAAATAAAATGTATCTTTGGTCTGAATTGGTGTGTCATGGGGTAAGGGGGAAAAGTGATTTGTTTTTGTAGGAAGGGAGTCCATTCAGTTAAAAACAATTGTTGAGGGTTAGCTAGGTGGCGAAGTGGATAGAGTACCAGCCCTGGAGTCAGGAGGACATGAGTTCAAATCCAGCCTCAGATACTTGACACTTAATAGCTGTGTGACCCTGGGCAAGTCACTCAACTCCAATTGCCTCACAAAAAAACAATAATAATAATAATAATAATAGTAATTGTTGAAGGGATTGTAGTACATGATCTCTGAGGTCTCTTTTGGTACTAATTACCTATTAATTTATGATTTCTTCACCATTCTTTAGGATTCACAAATTCGGCAAAGTACAACCTATAGTTTACACCAGCCTCAGGGAAATAAAGAACATGGGACTGAAAGGAATGGCAATCTCTACAAGAAAAGTGATGGGTGAGTCAAGTATTTTGCAAAAATAGAATTTTGTTTTTATTTTTGCACTATTTGTATTAAATTTGGGACTCTATTTTTTGTGTTCTTTTTAAAAACAGGATCAGAAAAGTATGGCAAAAAAGGAAATGCTCCGTTAAAAATGGTTTTCTGACAATATCACATGGTACAGTAAGTACTTCGCCCCACCAAAAAAATTCTTGTTCTCTCATATAAGCATGTATTTGTGTGTTTTACGAAGCTGAAATGTTAGGTTTTTTGGGTTTTTTTAAATTTTACATGACTTGTATTTTTAGAGTGATAAAACTGCAGGGCAGCATAGTGTAGTGGATGGAATCAGGAAGACCTGCATTCAAGCCTTGCTTTTGACTCTTACTAGCTGTATAACCCTGGACAAGTTATTTAACCACTCAGTGTTCTACATAGCTCTCTTAAGATTAATATGTAGAGTAATAATAATAACAGTAACAAAAACTAACATTTATATAATGCCTAGTGTAGACCAGGCACTGTGCTAAGTGTTTTACAAATAACTATTTCATTTGATCTTCACAACACCCCTGCAAGGTAGGTGCTATCATTCCCATTTTACAGATGAGGAAACTGAGGCAAATTGTGTTTCGGTTATTTGCCCGGAGTCATAGAGCTTAATAACTATCTGAAGCCAGATTTGAACTCCAATCTTCCTGACTCCAGACCCAGCCCTCTTATCCACTGTGCCCCCTAGATGCCTCAGAGTAGCTATGGATAGCCTTGGTAAAATGAGTGTCCCAACCGGTGGCGTCAGGTACAAACAAACCAACAAGATAGGACTTCAGTGGTGAGGAGTAAAAAGGCTGTGGGGGTTGGGTTTTCCCCCCACATTTTTAGTGTGTGATAATATCTGAGCAGCTACAGTTCCCTTTTCCAGTGAAAGGGAGACATGTCCATTAGATCTGTTTTTGTGTAATATTTCATGGTGTCTTACAGAAGAAGGCCAGTTATGGCAGCCATAGCAAGATTCATCCATCGAGAAGCCAGAACTCTGTCAGGTGACTTTTTGAGGAAGCTTATTTATGGTAGAGATCACCCATGGAGGATTCTGGTTAGAAGATGATGGTAGCCCCAGGTTGTGTGTATTTTGTCCCTATCTAGGGGCTCTTTAGAAATAACACGTGGGGCCAAATTATCATGAAGGACCCAAGGTGATCATTCCTTGGTTGAGATGGTAAGTCGCCTTGATGGCATAAACGCCTTGCTTTGCAGTCCACTGCTTACAGAAACAGTGAGGGAGCTGTCCTTCAGCTGCCTCTCTTCCTGACAAGTTTCTGGGCTAAAATATGGCAATTTTCTCAACATTAGAGACCTCTACTTTGTTCCTAGATTTTGTCTATTTTTTTCTAATTTTTCCTGTGGTTGTTTCATAACAAAGTACACCCCCCCCCAGGTGGGAGGACAGGAAAATTTTCTTTTAAGTTGTTGGGACTCTGCAGTAATATCAACTCAGGCACACCAGATAAATTGTGCCCAGCCCATATCAGATCCTTGCATTACCCTTTGTGGCTTACTAGCTAAATCTTACTCTTCCAGATATGTATCACAGAAGTGACGTCAAAGGCCATGTAGTCCAACCTCTATCTGGACAACAATCCTATCAGTAGGATACCTAACAAATAGTGTTCTAGCCTTTGATTCAAAGAGTTAATCGAAGGGCAACCCTTTGCCTCCTGGCGCAGCCCATTTCACTTTAGGGTAGCTCTGGAGATTAGAAAATTGTTTTGTTTATCTAGCTAATTTTGTTATTAAATCCTGTATAGGTAGGCAATTTTGAGCGTAGGAGAAAAGCAGGGATTTTCTGTTGTTTTGGTATGGTAAACAGGTTATAAAGGTATAAGTATGTATTTGCATATGCTCTGAAGGAATGAATTCATTTGAGCTCTGTTTATACTTCTCTTATTGTATCTGTTTATTTGAACTAAAGCCTACTAAATTCTACAGAGAACCTATCAGAGAATAACAACATACTTTAATTTCACACCTATTTGGAAAGTATTGATTCTTGCTCATTCAGCATTTTCGTATAATCAAGGCTCTAGATCTTAGTTTAAGCTAATAAATTATTGCCCTTTCACAACACAAGTAAAAACAAGGCCCTGAATTGTGTGAATACACTGATTGTCCTCTTTTTCTAGGTATGTAAGTTTTTTTAGACATCTCTGCCCTTTTCTTGAATTTCTCATCATGGTTTGGATTCCTTTAAAATTTGATGGGATGCCCCAGTTTCGAGCTGTTCGCATAGTGTAACCAGCATCACTAGGAAGCTGACAACTCGGCTTGTCATACAACTTGCATATTTAATTAATGCTTTGTCTTTGGAGGGGAAGTGCTCTCTAGGGATTCCCCTACCCTGTGAACACGTGGCCCCTCAGTAGGTTTGGTAGGGAACTCTGGCTGTGCCTTTAGCAGCTTCTGGATTGAACAGATTGAGCCAGCCATGGCATGCCAAAGATGAGAAAGCAGATTGTGAGTTCTTCGTTATAAGATCTGTCTGATTTCTTCTTTGCCAGGAGAAATGAAGAGGATAATCTGACAGTGCCCCTGACAGTTACCGAGTTCTTTTTCTTCCTCCCCTAAAAGTGCTAGTTCCCTCAACATTTTACATTTGCTGGAAGTCAGAAACTCACTTCCCTCCTCCATTTGCTATTTTATGTAGTCAGTCATTGCAGGTGATGAATAAAGTCAACCAATGCTGAGGAAGAGTGTCTTTGAGGATTTGAGGGTTTTTTGTTTTTTGTTTTTCATGTATATGTGTATTACACAGTTAATGTCTCCTTCGTGTGTTAACTTGCAATCAGGAAAAAGGACTATTTTCCAGTGCAGCTGTCTAAATAGGCACCCAGGAGTAGGATCTGATGCACAGCTGCAAATCAGTTCTTTAAGAGAAGGAATCAGAAACTATATTTGTGATGTTAGGGGGAGAAAGTCCTTTCTTGGAAGCTGGCAAGTACCTTAGACTTAAATAATAGGTTTCCCTCACCTCCCCCCAACTAGCTAAAGGATAATGACACCCACCACTGTATATTAAAGTTTAGGGTTCCCTGTTGGCTAAGGCTAATAATTCTTACCCATGCTGGTAAGAAATGATCCTTGGCCTCTTTTATAGTTTCCATATGACTTTGCTCTAGGGTCAAATAACTCTCATTACTCCATGTTGTTAGTTTTCCAGAATTGGGTTAGTAGTAGATTCGGGAAGGATGTGGAAAGAAATTTGAGCTTTGTTCTGAGAGATTTAGAAGTCAGTTGTGAAGGTATAGATTACCAGTGTTCTCTTGCCTGGTCTTTTCTGTGATATTAGTAACAATAAGGAGGCATTCTCTTTTTTCCTAAATAGTCAAGAAACAAAAAAGGCTTATGAACTTCATATTCTCCTCCCTAGATAACTGGCTTTAATTTTTTTAATATATGATCCTCAGTGAGTCAATGAACATTTCCTTCTTCCTAACTCCAATCCTACGGGCTTTATTGCTGTACAATTAGTTTAATCATGTAGACATAGGTAAATAGGACACTTAACTAGGATAGGGTATCCAATTAGGACTAGGCTTAATTGAGATCCATTTGTCCAAAGTTTGGAATTATGTCCAGAGGTATTTTAAAAAGTTTTTCCCTTAAACTAAATGCTTAATTTAATGAGACTTTTCTTTATAGAGAGTGAAAATTATTTTGTAAACCAGAAGATGGAAGGATATAGTTTGGTATTTGTTGGAGCAGGGCATTAATTGGAAAATTTCTTTTAAATTTAAATTATTTTAAATTGAAACTGAATTATTTTAAATTTATATGTTACATTATATAAAGTTCCTTGTCACTACCAATGCAGTAATCCATTGTTGCAGATATATTCAAACATTTTTTCAGTCAAGGAAGCCATCAGCAATTTACCTATATTTAACAAGGTACTACTATCATTCCCTCATTACTCTTCCCAATATATGTACTATTAGATTATATTTCATGAGTGACCATAGCTGCTCTGAGACATAAAAGGCCATCTTTTTGACACCAACATTCTCCTAATGATCTATGGCAGTGGTTCCAAAGAATCAAAATTGCAGGTTTACCAAAGATGATTTGCCTGCAAGAAATGGCTTAGAATAGATAATCTAGGAGAGGTATGATCAGAAGGTGGTTAACTGGTCATATGGGGTGAGCAAGGGATAAGAACAGATGGGAAGCCTGAGTGATGTGCTGAGAACCACAACATATTAGGTGTCCCAGAAGTAGACTAGTCCCAGCATGTTGGGTGAATCATCAGCAGAGGATTTGTGGGCCAATATGAATCCAGATCAGAGAGGATGTGAGACATAGATGAGTTGTGTTCTTCACCATAAGAAGTACCTGTGTGTATGAGATCATAGATCCCTTGTAGTAAATATACCTCTTTAAGCTTAGTACATACCAGTAATTTGTGTGCAGTTTAATAGATTCAGAAGCCCCCTGTAAGCATATAGTCTCTTGCAGTCAAATAGGGAATAGGAAATTGACAGTTTTCACAGATATCATATACATGCTAAAAATAACATGATGATGAACAGTGGGGTAGGGTTCCTTCACTGTAGAATAGTATATTCTTCATTTTGTGTGGATGTTAATAGACATTGACTTTTAGAGGAATAGCATGAATCTGGTCTAAGTTTATCCAAATTATGAGGAAGTTCAAAGGTCTTCATTGTGACACTCTAATGAATAATACCTGAAAAGACAAAGAATGCCTTTAGCACTTTATAGAACTTTTTTTATTTAATTTGGAGTCAGAAGACTATGAATAACCTTAGGACAATTACTTCACCCCCCTGAGAAGGGAGAAGTTCCTCATCTGTAAAATGGAGGGTTTAGACTAGATGAACCCTAAAACCCTTCAAGATCAAAATCCTATTATCTTAGAGAAAATAAAGGAAAAGTTGATACCAACTAAGACAACTCAACACAACCAGTCCTCACCACTACTCCTGGAGAGCCTACAGAATAGGATCTGGGGGGAGATTGTCCTGGGTCATTTTATGGGGAATAGTGATGTACTTGTGTGTGGAAGGGGAGGATCTCATAGGACTCTCAAGATATTCAAATAACTTGGGTTATGTTAAATGAATACCAGTTGTTGCAAATAAACAAGATTCTACTATACAGAATTTTCTTATTTTCTTTCATTTTGTTGGATACAGTGGCCAGAGGTTGTATTCTATTTGAACTTGGCAAAATTTGAAAATTATTTACTTTAGCTCTTCCTTAGCAAACCTGGGAGGTCGGTGAGGGGCAGAATAGTATGTTTCACCGGAAGAAATCTTAGGCCGTTTTGCTATCTTAAAACATTTCTTTTTTCTAAATAAAAGTAAATCATTCTCCTATGCTATATTCCAATGGGCTAATTATGATGCTTTATGAAAAGGAGAGAAAAATAGCTATTTTTGACACCTTTCTTTTTTTTTATTCTGTAGCTAACGTGCAGGAGTAGATGTGTGAATGTGGGGTGTTTTGTTGAAACTTCAATGACAGAGGTGCTTTACTTTAAAAGACACCTCTCAAAAGCTTTTTTAGTCTCCAGAAGTATGGATCTGTTATCTGTCATCACTTCAAGAAGAAGAGAAAATTACTTATCTGCCATTTGTGCTCTCTGAAGGCAATAATTATTGCGAAGTGTACTCTTCAGCTTTCTTTATCCCTGCTGGGAGTTAGCAGTGTGTTTACATTTATAGATGCATTTTTAATTTAGCCAGAAAAGGGAGCTGAAGGTCTGTGTCAGTCAGTGGCCATTCTGTTTCATCAGCAGGTATTAGGACTTAATGACTCTAAAATTGAACTGCAAAGCATTTCAGACCCAGCCAGGTATGGCTGGATCCCCTGAGCCGGAATAGACACATTGATTACACTAAGAGATTTAGTTATGGTCATATCTGGTGTTAAGCTTAAACCACACAGAAAAAAATATTTACCCTTTACCTTGAATGCAGATCTTGGATGAGAAGAATCCACAGAAAGAGGGTCTGAACATACCTATCTTGCGCCTTCTAGACTTAGCAGATCCTTGAGGCCTGAGACCATGTCCTACCTAAACTTTGTATCCTCCTATTGATTGCTTGAAATGGTTTTTGTAATATAATCTATTCTAAGGACTATTGTAGCAAATAGAAAAATCCTTTTTTAAGGACATGCCTGCTATTAAATAATGTTATTTTGTGTTTTCCCTTTTCTCATCATAGGCTAACCGTCCTCCTGCGAAGCTCAATCTCTTAACCTGCCAAGTGAAAACAAACCCAGAAGAGAAGAAATGTTTTGACCTCATATCACGTAGGGTTTTCTGAGATCCCTGTGGAATGTAGGGAATTGGGAGTTGGGAGGGGGACATTTTTTAATATTAGCCTCCAAGGTTCCCTTGTTTTGAGCAACATAACAGCTTCTTGTTGTAAAATCGTGTCCAACTCTTCGTGACCTCGTTTGGAGTTTTCTTGGCAAAAATACTGGAGTGGTTTGCTGTTTCCTTCTCCAGCTCATTTTACAGATGAGGAAACTGAGGCAAACTGTGAATTGACTCACCCAGGGTCACACAGCTAGCAAGTGTGTGAGGCTGGATTTGAACACAGGGAGATGAGTCTTCCTGACGCTCTAACTACTGTGCCACCTAGCTGCCCCACCGCAATAGCTCCCCCTCTGCAGTTCTGTGAGGTTGCTGTTTAATCAGTACTAAGCTTCAGCTGTGTTGTAGGCACCAAATTAAAATAGCCACGAGCCTCCTTGTTCCTATCGCTTGTAGTAACTACCTATGACGTTACGAAGCCTTTGATTCAGATTTGTAAATAATTACAGACAACCCATCAGCCTATTTTTTATCAACAGGTACTTGTCCCTAGGGGCAACCTGACTCAGACAGTTGACACTTACTAGCTGGGTGACCCTGGGCAAGTCACTTAGCCCCAATTGCCTCACCAAAAACAAAAAAAGGAACACATACTTGTCCCTGAAGGTGGGTACATTGGTACTAGTGGAATTATTTTAGGGATCCATGACCCCATCGTTGTGGATACTGCTCCACTAGTACCAGTTGCATGCTTTCTACAATCTAGTAGATGACTCTATAGAAATTGTTCTGACTTTAGTGGAGAAGATTAGAAATAAATATAATTATAGTTCCTTGTTTTTAAAAAGCAAATCAGCACTCTCCCCTTGAAAGAGGATTAGAGGCAATTATTTGACAAAAACTGCTGAGAAAATGGAAAAAATAGTTTGGCTGAAGTTAGGATTAAGAACAACGTTTTATACCATTTATCACAAGAAGCTCTAAATGGATATTAAAGGTCATAATATAAAAAATTAAAACCCAATTATGTACCTTTCACAACTGTGGCTATAAATAGTATTTTAACCAAACAATGGATAGAGGCAATCATAAGATAAAATAATTCAGTTTCTTGAAATTGAAAAGAATTTTCAGTGCAACTAAGATAAGAAAGGAAGCTATTAAAAAGGGGCAGGGGGGATCTTTGCTTCTGATATCTCTGATATGGGCCTAATAGTCAAGGAATCTAAAAGGAACTAACACAAATGGTTACACAATATAAGTAAACAGTTCTCTGAAGAAGAATTTAAAGCTATAAGTAGCCATATGAAAGAGTATTCTTAAATTACTGTGAATCATATAGCCATGGAAGAATCTATAAAGCTTGGGTTTAAATCTTAGCTCTAATGTCTGTGGACTGGATGACTCAGAAGATTCCTCCCTGCTTTAAATCTATGGTCCTATGATCATATCGTAGGGGCAAGTAATTCTTACTGGTAATTTTCCTAAAAACCCAAGTGTAAATGTCCAAAAATCATGTCAGTCATCTTGGGGAATCTAAAAGCATTTACCAGTGCCAGTTTAAGGTAACATTGCCAAAGAGGCCATATGATCTTTATTTGGTTTCTGCCTCTTTTCCCGGGATCCCTCTTTCTGCTGTCCTGATGTCCCTTTGAGGTTTTTATCCTGAGTACTATATCTACAGAGCCTTCTTGCCTGGCTTTAATAAGATCATTACAATTTGATTATTCAGGAGTTAGGGAGGATGGGTTCATAGAAGATTTTTGTTAACCCTTTGACAACGTACAGTACACATCTTTATGCAGGGATGCAGTAGTATAATAGAAAGTGCGTGGGAACAGGTAATAAGAAATCATGAGTGACATAGGGGAAAATTACTTTCCCTCTTAGGGGAACATGGGCCAGATTTAAACTTAATAACTTGTACAACTCTTTGTTACTGTCTTGTAATCCTTTTGTAATTCTTTGTCCTGTGCCTTTCACCCCTCTATCCTCAAGTTTTTTTTTTCTTACTCATCATCTGGAGCAGAATTTCTCAAACTTTTTGTCCTTAGGACCCCTTCACACTCTTGAAAACTACTGAGGGCATCCTTCTTTTGTTTCTTTGGGATAATCTATTGAATTACTGTCCTAGAAATTAACACGTTCTAGCATTATTTTTAAATGGTTTAGAACTCATGGACCCCCTAAAAAAGTCTTTGGACCATAATTTGAGAACTGTTGCTCAATAGGAAGAGGGAATTGAGTTAAACAATATCTAAGATCCTTTTCATAAAACCATAATAAGATTTAGTGCTAGAAAAAGGGATCTTAGACTTCCGTCTAGTCCAGCGGTTCTTAACCTTTTTTGTGTCATCGATTCTTTTGGCAATCTGGTAAAGTCTTTGGACCGCTTCTCAGAATGATGTTTTCCAATACATAAAATACATAGGATTACAAAAGAAACCAATTGTACTGAAATATAGTTGTCAATATATTAAATAAAACAAATTCAGAGGCCCCAGTTTAAGAACTTCTGATTTAGTCCAATCTTCTCCTTTAATTAATAATCTAGATATGATCAGAGCAAGATACAGTAGGATTATCACTTCCCTATTACTATAGCCTGAGAATTCATTAGATTTTTTGAATGGTGTGTAATACTGTTGCTTTGTACTGAGTTTGTAGTCTGTAGAATCCTCCATATCTTTTTTCAAGTGAACTACCCATCTTATTTTGTTGTTGTTGTTGTTGCTAAGCAGTGGGGTTAAGTGACTTGCCCAGGGTCACACGGCTAGTAAGTGTCAAGTGTCTGAGGCCAGATTTGAACTCATGTCCTCCTGACTCCAAGGCCCATGCTCTATCCACTGAACCATCTAGCTGCCCCCCATCTTATATTTTTGAAGCTGATTTTATGAACCAAAGTTTAAGACCTCACATTTATCCTTAAAAAATTTCATCTGATTACATTTGGCCCGGTGTTCTAGTCTGTCAGGATCTGTTTGGATCCTCTCTTTGTCAGGTCTTCTGTTCCCAGTGCTCTTTCTACCACCATGATGTTCCCTTAAAAAGAGAGAAGGGGCAGCTGGTAGCACAGTAGATACAGCACTGGCCCTGGAGTGAGGAGGACCAGAGTTCAAATGCAGCCTTAGACACTTGATACTTACTAGCTGTGTGGCCCTGGGCAAGTCACTTAACCTCAGTTGCTTTGCTAGAAAAAAACAAAACAAATCAAAAAAAGAAAGAAAGAGAGAGAAAACCCCATGACAGTCAAATGAACCTTTCCCTCATATCATAACTCTTATTATTCCTTCATGTAAGGGTGTACCTACTTAGCTAAATTTTTTGCAGAGGAATTAGGAGTTTTGAGTGTGTTCTTCATGGTATTTCACTGTAAATTCCTTCTTTTCTTTCCCTCTGCCTTCTGCAAGAACTTTACCATTCTGATCCAGTTGTAGCAATGGGGACAGGCAGAAATATAGGGAGAACTCTGGAATATGAAGAGGGGTACAAAACCCCTGTTTTTTCAAGAACTTTTCTTTATGTCTCAAACCTTTAAGATGTGGTCTAGATTTAAATTTAGAGGGTTTTTTTTAGACTCAAACACCAGAACACAAATACAGAATAGAGAAAAGGGGTAAAAACATATCATGAACTTAAATATTGGAACTTAATTACAAAGAAAAGGGGGGGAAAGCATGTCATGTGCATAGCAGAACATAAGAGAGAATCCAAAATGTGTAATGATAAATTTTCATTTCAAGAAAGCCTGACTGATAAATCCCACACCTTGTGTCAGGAGCTGTCCATCTTTTCTTTGTTTCCTTTTAACTTTTCTTTTATTCTCTGCTGTGCACTTTTTTTACATTGTTCTTTTTTTCCACCTCTCCCCAGAAGGCTATAACCGAGTGAGGATATATTTCGCTATAGCTATAGATATAGACATATACTTTCCCAAACAAATTCTACTCCTGATATTTGTTTTGTTTGTGCATATCTCGTTTCCTGTCCCTCCTGATTCCTCTTCTTTACTTCTATCTGCTACCTTGCCTTTCTGTTACTTAGCCTACCCCCTTCAAGGATCCCTCCCTTATCCTCCTGTTCCCATAAATCTAAACACCATTCTATAACCCCCTTTTACCTGTTCCCTCACCCTCCCCTCTAGAGATCCTTTCCTTGTCCTCTCCCCCCTCCCTATCCCCTCACCATTTTATTTCTTCTAAATTTAGAAGACTTTTATACTCTTCTAAATATACATGTATTGTTCCCTCTTAAACCCATTCCTGATGAAAGTGGGTTACCAGAACTACCAGCCATCCTTCTTCATCTGATTCCCCTGTATCAGTTCTTCCTCTTGCACCTCATTTGTATAAAACAATTTCTCTTTTTAGCTGTTCCTAAATGGTATTACTTTTTAAAGTCATATCATACTCAGGTCTACCCCAGTATTTCTTATGAGCTACCAGTTGTTAATAAGGATCTTACACATACGTTTGGCATTTTACCTATATGAAAAGTAAAAGGTCTGTCCTTATTGACCCCTTGTAATCAGTCTTTGGTATGTACCTTATGTTTCTCTTGGCTCTTATATGTAAAGTCTTCTATTAAGTTCAGACTTGTGTTTTTTGTTTTGTGTTTTTTTTTTAACAAAATTTTGAAAGTCTGACAGCTGATCAAATGTCTATTTTTTTTTCATTCAGGATTATGCTTAACTTTGCTGGGTATGATATTTTTGGCCAGAGCCCCAGTTCTTTTACTCTTTTGGGAGGGGGTTGTTTTAGACAATTGGGGTTAAGTGACTTGCCCAGGGTCACACAGCTAGTAAGCGTCAAGTGTTTGGTCTGAGGCCGAATTTGAACTCAGGTCCTCCTGACTCCAGGGCCAGTGCTCTATCCACTGCGCCACCTAGCTGCCCCTCAAGAGTCTTTTTTTGATCATAGCTTTCAGTTAATCCAATTATTTTTATGTTTTCTTTTCTTGATCTGTTCTCTAGATCTGTTGTTTTTCTTATAAGATGTTTCACTTTCTCTTCTATTTTTTCATTATTTATCTTTTGTTTAATTATTTGGATTCTTTTTTTTTTGGTTTTTCCTCCATCTCTCTCATTTAATTTTTAAGTTCTTTTTAAGTTCTTCCATAAATTATTTTTGGGCAGGTGACCAGCAGACGTTACTCTTTGGGGTAGAATGGGGGTTTCTTTGCTTCATTATCCTCCTCTGAAGATGAACTCCGATCTTCTGTATTCCTCTAATAGCTTTCTATGATTGGATTCTTTCTCCTTTGCCTTTGCCTTTGCCTTTTTTGTAGGAGTAGCTTAATTTTTGTAATCACCTCTAGCCCTGGGGTATGGGGGATGGTGCCTCTTGCCCCAAATCTTCAGTTCTCCCCTCTAGCCTAGAACCAAAGCCAAACTGCCAGCCTTCTGTAAGTGCCCACAGGCAGGGGCCTTCTGCCCCAATGCTTCTGCACTCACCCGATATATGCTGGTTCCTTCTTGCCCCCACCCTCCACCCCACTCTCCACAGCACAGCTGGGTCTCGAGTTCCTTATCAGCAGAGGTTCCTTTGATCTTCCTGGGCTTAGATGTCCAACTCCTCTCACTCTCCTGGGGGTAAAAGTTTCTGGGGCTGGGGCAGAGTCCCAAACCAGGTAACCCCAGGGCTTGTGACTTCTTTACAGGCCCCACCCTGGAGGTCTGGAGGTGTTTACTCTTCATCCTTGTCCTGGGATTTTTTTTCTGATCTCGAAATGTCCCAGGAAGACTCCAGTTGTGCCCCTATTCTTACTTATTTTTACCCAAACTTTACTTGACCTAAGATGCTATTTTGTCTCTTTTTGGGGGGGAAAATCTTGAGAGCTTAGAATTTTCTGACCTACTCTGCCATCTTCCCAGAATCCTCTCCTAGAAATTTCTTTTGTAATTTTCTTGTAACCCTTCACCCTTTACTCTCAGAAGTGGTTGTCTTGTTTCTCTAAAAGGTCTGATCCTATAATCTTAAAGAACTGGAAAGGAACTTGGAGCTCATCTATTCCAACCCTTTATTTTATATATGAAGAAACTAAGACCTAGGAAAGGGAAATGACTTGGCTAAGGTCACATAGCTGGTTAGCATCAATGTCTGGACCAGACTCCATAGGTCCCTTCTAGCTCTCCAGCTCTTGGTTGACTGTCTGATTTTGATTATCCTCATTCTCCTGTACCATACATAAGTTGTCCTCATTCTTACGTAGTAAGCATAGGAAATATTGGGTCATTAATTGAGCCTACATTTTGAGCTCCTGTTATATAGATGTTTGTTGCGCATGATATTAAGTTATAAAGTTTATGGTCTGCTTGGAATTTGTAAAAGAGTAAAGCAGCTTTTCTTTATCCCTAGGAAACAACCCCATCCCTTTCAAAGCCCTATCACATCATTGGAGTTTATTTTTCTGATCTTTCCCATCCTTCTTTTATATCATTTTTGTAGTCATATACCTTATAGCTGCCTTGACTCCTTTTTTTGCATAATAATGTATCTTGCAAGGCACAGAGGGGGAAAAAATCCTTCTACCATCCTCCCCCGTAGTGGATTTCCCCTTCAAACAAGGGACAAGCTTGGTTTGAGCCGAAAATTTCTCAGCTGTCAGTGGATGGATTCTAATGCAGGTTCCTGAGATGTGGTGCAGCCTGCCAATAAGACTGATTATACATAAGTGTTCGTGGGCTTATTTTGTCTTGGTACATAGTTCTGTCACATAGGCATACCTCAGTAACCGAACTTCCTTATGAAAATTCAGAAGCTGCCAATTGGGTCAGCAAAATAAGGCTCGTTACTTGCTGGGGTTGGATTGAAACTATACCTTAATTATACAATGTTTCTATCCTTTTATTATTTTACCAAAAAAAACAAACCTTTTTTGGTCCAGAACTCTCAAATTCATTGGTACAGAGAGTTCCTGGTAAGAAATATTCTACTATTCATACAGCTCGATTGATCAGTCAATAAACTTTTATTAAGTGCCCACTATGTGCCAGGTACTGTGTTAAGCACTGGGGCCGCAAATGCAAAAAAAAAAAAAAAAGACAGTCAACCAAAAGGTCCTTACAATTTAGTGGGGGAAGACAGTGCACAGAAGACAGCTGAACTTTATTGTGCTTTATCTAAGATGGTTTTAGGGGCACAGAGTAGTTATATGACCAATAGGCCAAAGGTCACACAAGCCAGAATGTGACGAGCAGGACTTGAATCCAAGTTTTCCTAACTCGATACTGGCTCTCATTCATATTCTTAGTTATTTAGAATTTATGATAGAGATGTTGAATGAGGGTGAAAATGTAGTTTCAGGGTTAGGCTTTAGGACTCTCCAGGTCATACCAGCATCTAAAAAGATTGGAGTGGTAGAATTAGAAAACTTAGGAAGTCAGGAAACCTGAATCCTAAATCTGGCTCCAACATAACCTAGCTTTATAATGTGGGGTATACCACTTCTTTGTCACTTCTTCATGACTCAGTGTCCTTATCTGTAAATAGGAAGATGCTACCTCCCTTATCTCACCAGGAACAGGTGTAAGAATAAAGTAAGATAATATTTGGACAAATAGTTTGAGACGTATAAAAAACCATGATGGAATTGGCTGTGCCTACCAACCTTTCTTGGCTAGTTACTGCCAATACCCACCCCCACTCTCGTTTCTACCATTCTGCCCCCCCATTTTTAGGAGTTGGCATGGTCTCTCTGTGTCTGTCTCCCTACTCTTTCTGTCTCCACTCCTCCCCTTTTCCTCTATCCCCGTTCTCTTTCTCTGTCTCCCCACTCTCTTTCTGTCTTCTTTGCCTCCCTTTGTCTCTCCTCCCTCTGTCTTTCTTCACTCTTTTTCTTTTTCTTTCTTTGTCTTTCTCCTCTGTCTCTCTTTCCTGACACTCACTGTCTTAGCAAAACAAGAGATTTTTTAAAAAAAAGTTTCAGGTATCTAAAAATGTTTTTTGACTGTCCACCAAAAAGCACCCCACTCCCCATAAAAATTCATTTGCACAATGGTTTTGAAGGATTGTTGACCTCTGCACTTTTGAAGTATAAGGCATTATCATTCAACTGTCTTCTAATTGTATGAAAATGAGTTGGCAGCTCCTTTAATTCTGTTTTTCTCTGGTGTGTTTTTGTCATGATAACCTAAAAAAAAAACAACTAGGTCAGAAAACCCTACGAGATTATGTTTTGCTTTAGAAGTTGTTAACAAGACTTCTAATAAAGGTTTTTATGCCAACTACATAAATAGAAGTTAAAATCAAAGCTTTTTGGCAGATAGTGGCATAGCATAAACTCATTTTCTGTGAAGATGTCCTTCTTTGTGTGTAGCTTGAGTCTTTGGAAGCAGCGCCTATAGGCTTGAGTAGAACAGTGCAGGTTGGCTCATTTACATTATAAAAGTACGATTATTACTAGGTAAGGGTAGACATTTGAAGGATGTGAAGAAATGAGATTTTATACAAATCATTAATTTTCCAGTAGAGAACTAAAATTATTCTCAGGGTTAATTATCAGCTATTTTCTTTTGTAATTATCTATGAATGTAGTGTTTGGCTGTTCAATGTATGAAATCTCTCTTGCACAGATGATAGAACATACCACTTCCAAGCAGAAGATGAACCGGAATGTCAAATGTAAGTTATTTGGGGCTATGCTCAGGGTTTGGCCGAGGAGTTGTAGATTGTTCTTGTTACATGTAGCCTTTACTGTTGTTTTTAGATGGATGTCTGTACTACAGAATAGCAAGGAAGAAGCTTTAAATAATGCATTTAAAGGTGATGACAACACTGGAGAAAATAACATTGTCCAGGAGCTGACAAAGGAGATTATATCAGAGATCCAGAGGATGACTGGAAATGATGTCTGTTGTGACTGTGGAGCACCAGGTGACCGCTTATGTTTTAGTTGTCTTATAGTTGTTTTAAATTTCCATTTTAACAGATCAAAGCATACTTTTTCTACTTTCTTTATTTTTCTTGGGCTTTCATTTTGGTCTGTGTTTTTCTTTTACAACATGACTACTATGGAAATAGGTTTTGCATGACTACACTTGTATAAACTATATCAAATTGTTTGCCTTCACAATGAGAGGGGTGGGAAGAAAATTTGTAACTTAAAATTTTTTAAAAACAAATGGTAATTGTTTTTACATGTAATTGGGGAAAAATAAGTACTAAAAGTAAAATTTTCATTTTAGCTTAGTGGCTCAATTCCTATATGAACATAGTAGCTCTCTTGTAAAAAAAAATGCCTCATGAGCTTCGTGTAGACCACATGGTTTTGCTTTCCCAGCAATAGGATGGGAAGTATTTTCTCAGCCAGGACTGCTGGAGAGGACACAGAGTAGGAACTGTAGAATGTGAGAGCTAAACAGTCTCTTGTGACATAGAATGTCAGAATTAAGTGGGTCTTTTAACACATAGACACACCTGCCTCCCAGTGTTCTTGTAAGGATCAAATGAGATAATAATTGTAAAGTGCTTAGCACAGTGCCTCACGTTAATAGAAAATGCTATATAAATGTTAGCTGTTACTATTTCATAATTAGCAGAGCTAATGTTCAAATCTAGATCTTCTGACCTTAGATCTATGTTTTTCCTGTTATACCACCTGATAGTATTTGTCTTGACTATGCTCATTTGTTAAAAGCTTTTTAAAAAAAAATTAATTGGAGCTTGGGGATTTGGGTGGGAAAGGGGGGCTAGCTACTATAGTTATGTGTTCCTCCCTCCAAAAAATGGTGGCCATTGATACTTTTCCAAAAAAATACATAGAAAAGAACAAAAGGATGGGATGCACAGACAAACAGAAGAACTTTGAGAGTAACTTACTGAACATACATATATATATATATATGTGTGTGTATGTGTCTATATATATATATATATACATATTTTTAAAATCTATACAGAATAGTCAGCATTTCATATACAATCCTTATTTCATATTCTATTGTAGAAATACAAAAAGTTTTTTGTGCGAATTTCAGAATTTTTTTTAAAAGGAAAGGCGCACTGATTTCTTTTAAAAAAAAGGAGATCTGTCTACTAAAATTTTAGAATCTGTCTGGTCCCAGGGAGCCATGGAAGTAGTGTGGGATTGGGGATCTGTATTTGAATCTTGGCTCTGCCTTTCACTACTACTACTCTACTATTTGTAAGACCTTTGGGCAAGTCACATTGTCTCTCTAGGCCTCATTATCCTCATCTGTAAAAGTAGGGGGTTGGACTTGATGACTTTTGAGGTCCATTCAAGCCCTTTATGACTTTACAATTCTATATTAATGAGGGAATCATTAGTAAACTCCAAAATCCTATTCCCAAAGTCTCTGTTGTCATAGGATCATAGACTTAGAATTAGAAGAGATCTTGGAGGCCAACCTCTTCATTTCAAGGACATTGTAGCAACTCAAGATTGTTTAAATGACTCTCCAAAGGTCATACATGTAATGTTAGGGATGGGTTTTGAATCTCATTCTTCTAACTTCAGTCATATGCTTGCCTGGCACCTAGTAGGAACTTAGTAAATTGTTCTTGAATTGATTTTTTTTATTTTGGGGGTGTACTTATTTGTTAGGATACATAAGTGGGGAAAGTATTTGCTACTTAGCAAAACTAGAACATCTGGAAAGAGTTGTTGCTTTTAGACACCTTCCTCACCTACCCCACCTACCTACCCTACCTAAGTATACTTTCCTTTATAAAGTAGATACATTTCTAAAAAGTTGCCTGTAAATCATAGTGTTGTATACTTTTTAAAAAATATTCAAGGTTCTTGCCATTTTTATTGTATTTTTACAATCCTGGTAATATAAACTCACACATCTATCCTTTTGTGCTTACAATGACTCTATAAAGTTCTTTGAATATGTACAAAGAATCACAAAACTTTAAAAAACTGGAAATGAGCTCTCCAAGCAACTGTGACAATAATGATTATGATGATAATGATGATCCGAATGGGTGATAACTTCTATTTATATATCAATTTAAGATTTGAAAAGTGCTTTGCATATATTATGTCACTGAATTTCTTTCATTCCCTTTTGCCTAATTCTGACCAGGATATGCTTTCTTATAAGCATGGTGCAGAGAGGGAAGAAAATGTCTGAGATAGATATGGATGTGTTTATATACACATCTGTGTAGCTCACCTTAAGAGAGTTTACAGGATAAGTATAGAGTGAATGGATAGATGGAAGGACGGGTGGATGATGCACCCTGCATTAGATAAGAGAGATAGCTTATTCCGGTGAGAAAACACCAAGTTTGGAATGGGAAAAGTTGAAATCTTGACCGTATTTGGAGCTATTTGTAATGCTGAGCAACTCAGTCCACCTCCTTGACCCTGTTTTCTCATCTCTTTCCTCCCCCCTCCCCAAGAAGGCGTGCAGTCTGACATAGGCTCTACATTTACATTTCTGTTAAACATATTTTCACATTAGTCATGTTATAAAGAAGAATTAGAACCAATAGGGGGAACCACAAGAGAAAAGAAACAAAACAAAACAGAAGGAAAAAACATCAATCTGCATTCAAACTCCATAGTTCTTTCTCTGGATGTGGATAGCATATTCTATTATGAGACTTTTGGAGATGTCTTAGATCCTTGCATTGCTGAGAAGAGCTAAGTCTGTCAAAGTCAGTCATCTCACACGTGGCTGTTACAGATTTTTTTTTTAATTGAAGCGCTCAGGTATGTTGGGGATTGAAACAGGTTGGCGATACTATGCTCAATAATTATGCAGTAGGTCACCTAAATAGAGGATAAGTGAGCATGATCCTTGCCCACAAGGCACTCATACTCTTCTCTTCCTTATATCACATAGTAAACCTTGTTCCTTTTCTCTGGCAGATCCTACCTGGCTTTCCACAAATCTGGGCATTCTGACATGCATTGAGTGTTCTGGGATTCATCGAGAGCTCGGCGTTCACTACTCAAGGATGCAGTCCCTCACGTTGGATGTATTAGGAACCTCTGAGCTTCTGGTAACTAGCAGGTCTTTGATTTCAAAAAGGGAAATATGTTGAGCCTGGATGCAGGTTTTTGATCTTTGTATTTAAGTATCTTTCCATTCCTCAGAATTTTGGGGGTGGGGGTGGGGATGTAAATTTGAGGCAGCTTTGAAGTTATTATAAACATTTTTCAAATTCCTTACTTATTACTCTCATTTCCATGCTAACACTAGTGACAGATTTTGTCCTAAAGCTTATTCTCTTAAATAAGATGTCTGCTGTAACCCAGCTTCCATTTTTTAGGAAGGAAGTTAAGGAGGTTTATTATGGAAAGGACAGGATAGTGCAGAACTCTGGGCATCTGTAAACACAGTATTAAAGCAGAAAGTGAGCTGAAGAGCTTATTTGGTCTAGTGCCCTCTGCCTACTGGTGGACCAGTCTCCAAACCTGAGAGGTAAAGTGATTTGTGTGATGTTGCAGAGCTGGTGGGTGGAAGGGTCAGGACTCAACCCCAGGGCTTCTGAGCCTTTTGACTCTAAGGCTAGAGCTCTTTCCACATTATATGGTTCTGCTGAAGAAGAATGGTATGGTTATCTAAGTTCAACGAACTTGACTTTTTAATAGGCAAATATATCCAACTGGCTCTTTTTAATTTCAGTCATGGAGTGTTAAAGTTGGAAGAGGCCTTAGAACACACCCCTCCCAGCCACCAGCCACCCCTGCTATTTTGTAGGTGAGGAAACTGAATCTCAGAGAAGTTAAATGACTTTCCTAAGGTTACATAGTAATTTATAGATACAAGGCTCAAGTCAAAGGCATTTGGCTCAAAATCTTGGCTTCTTTCCACTCCATATTTCTACCTCCTATGATGCTGTCCTTTAATTGTATGTTAGCTATAACTTGTTTTTTAGTGCTTAAGTTGCCTGATAAGTCTTTCGTTCTTGGTTCAGAGAATAGCACATGCCTGATGATGATGATGACAGGTAGCTTTTATATAATTTAAGGTATAAGGTTTTCAAAATATTTTGTAAATGTTATGTCATTTCATCCTCATGATAACCCTGTGAGGTAGGTGCTATTATGATCACCATTTTATAAATGTGGAAACTGAGGCTGAGACAGGTTAAATGACTTGCCCAGGGTCACACAGCTAGTAAGTGTCTGAAGTTTAGATTTGAACTTAAGTCCTCCTGATTCCAGATCCAGCCCCCGCCATCCAAGCATCACCTTGCTGCCTCAGTGCTGCTCTTGTGATGAGTGGTCATTGGAGTGCTATGGCTTTTCAAGTTTCCTCTAGAATGACCAGCTTACAGCTTACTCAGATGACTAGTTAAAAGCAAACTGATGGAGACAGGTGACATAGTGGATATACTTGGAATCAGGAAAACCTGAGTTCGAATCCTATGTCATATACTTACTAGCTGGGCAAGTGACTTTATTTCTCAGTATTTCAATTTTCTCATCTACAAAAAATGGGGATGATAATAATAATAATAATAATAATAATAATAATAATAATAATAATAACTCCTACTTAATAGAGTTGTTGGAAAGATCCAGTGAGTTAACGTAAAGTGCATTGCAGAATAAAGTGCTGTATAAGTGCTAGCAATCATTATTATATTATTATTACTTACGCTGTTCCCTTGGATTGCCTTGTTAATGAAAGCCAGTGAGATGCTTTCAAAAATTACAATGGATGACTTTGTTGAGACTGGTATACATGATTTTTTTCCTTTGAGGCTATAAATATTAAGTGGATATTGATTTTCATTGATTTTAATGTCAAGATTAATTGACCTAAGAGGAAAGCATTTACTGAGGTAAAGCTGAAGTCCATAATACCCTCATGGGACAATAAATCTTGTTGCCAAGATGGTGAAGCCAAAGTGCACATATGTAGAGTACATTTTCAGCTGCCTTATTGAACTTCCAGTATGTCTCAGAATTCCCTTCATGGCCTAGAAGTTGCAAAAAAGAAAAAGAGTTAAATGTTTGGTAAAACTTGTAAGTTCCTCCCATTGAGCCTATAAATGTTTGTGCCTGATTCATTACAGTAGGAGACTTTTCACTAGATTTGGTCCCATGTATGCTGTGTGCAGTTTCTTTCATTTTATGAAGACTGTTAAATTAATCATTCAAAATAATAGTGAAGAGGGCTAACGTTGACATCCCTTTAAGGTTTGCTTAAGCAAGTGTTTTACAAATATTACCTTAGTTGATCTTCACAAAACCCCTGGGAGGTAGGTGGTATAATCATCCCCATCTTACAGATGAGAAAACTGGGGCAAACAAGTGTTACTTGAGGTTGGATCAGAGCTCGAGTCTTTCAGACTCCTAGTCCCATGCTATATCCACTGTGCCACCTAGCTGCCTCTAGCAACAACTTATATTTTACATGTTATAGATACACATGCAATCAGATGGGTAGTACAGTGGGGCAGCTAGGTGTTGCCATGGATAGAATGCTGGGCCTGGAGTCAGGAAGTTCATGAGTTCAAATGTGGCCTCAGACACTTAAAAGCTGTATGACCCTGGGCAAGTCACTTTACCCTGTTTGCCTCAGTTTCCTTATCTGTAAAATGAACTGGAGCAGGAAATGTCAAGTCAGTATGTCAAATGTCAACAGTATGTTTGCCAAGAAAATCCCAGATGGGGTCACCAAGACTCAGACATGGCTGAAACAACTGCACAGCAACAAGATACACGTACACATATGAACATTTATATCTGTGTCAGGTTATAGATTAAGAGCTGGAAGGGGCCTGTGGTCTTCTCATTTAATCTCAATTTATCATTGCTGGAACCTGGCTCAAGCAAGTTAAATGACTTGCCCAAGAACACACAACACAGGTAGTAAGTAAATGGCAGGGCTAAGATTTGAATCCTGGTCCCCAGACTCAAACCATTGTTCTTTCCACTGTGTTACCTAGTCTACTGATAGATATAGGTATATGAAAGGCAATGTAATGGATAAAATCCTGTATTTAGAGTCAGTAAGACCTGGGTGAAGTTCTGCCTCTGATACCACCTGTGTGGTCACATACCCTCCATGATCTTCAAGGAACTTGCTAAGATTTAGGTGTTTTATGATCCTCATTGGTTCAAGAAGTCTCCATGTGGCCTAAATCACCGATGGTTGAGGTATTGCCATGGATGCATATTGCTATGTAACAACTCAGACTAATAGTAATAACTTCTTTAAATAATAGTTGGCATGCCTATAACCTTAACATTTTCTTCACACTGCCCATGAGACAGATAGTAGGAGTAGTATTACATGCTTACTTTACAGATGAGGAAATCAACAAATAACCCAGAGACCTATTTTCTGTCATTGTCTAAGCCTTTTTCCTTGACAAAGCTTCTACCAGATCAGCTAACAGAGGAGCAGAATGAAGTCATTTGCCCATGCCCAGATGGCTTTCAAGTTGCAGACAGGAATCCAATTTGTGTCTCATGATTACAAGTCCCAGAGTCTTTCCAATAAACTGTGATGCCTTGAAGTGGATGATAAAAGATTCTGCATCACTAACCCTGTCATCTGACTTTATTGTTGTTGTGCAGTAGTTTCAGTCATGTCCGACTCTTGGTGATCCCATTTGGGGTTTTTTTGGCAAAGGTACTAGACTGGTTTGCCATTTCCTTCTCCAGCTCATTTTATAGATGAGAAAGCTGAAGCAGAGAGCCCCAAGTGACTTGCCCAGGATCACACAGCTAGTAAGTATATGAGGCCACATTTGAACTGTCTTCCAGACTCCAGGCCTGGTGCCTTATCCACTGCACCACTTAGCTGCCCCTGGTGCCAGGCATTGTGCTAAGGATACAAATGCAAAGATAGTCCTTACTCTAAAGGAACTTAGAATATAATGGGAAAGACTACCCAGAAAAGGAAACTGAAAGGGGGAGAGGGGAGGTACTCAACCCAGAGTAGTCCAAAAGCAGTGTGGTGGGTGAGAAATGTGGAGAAAAACTGTGCAGACAGAGGCCCTGGAACCCACAACCCTGCCGTCCGGTCAGATGGTCCAATCAGAAGGCCAGAAGATCCTGCTGAGATGTGAGGACCAAGCCCATTCAGTGTCATGGATAATGAGATTTCTCAATGATCAGTTTCCGGGGGAAGGAAGGCATGATGGAGAGTTCTCAAGAAAACCAAAAGCCGGTGGGAAATGGGGAGTGCTGTTTACACTTAATTCCTGAAACCATTAGAGGGATTGAGTGACTTTGAAATAATTCATTTAAGGAGGAGAGAATGAAATTCAGTTCTTAAGATAGAACCTGACAAATTCCTTTGACCTACATGAATTCACGTCACCCCTCAACCCCTGTCTCGATCTTTCCCCTATACTCCAACCCCTTGGCCATCCATTTATGACATAAGATATGACTAAATTCGTGTTTCATAGAAAACATAAATAAAATGGTACTTTCAGCTCCACAAAGCCCTTTAAATGTATTATCTCATTAGGGCTTCACAACAGCTGAAGTAGCTAGTACAGGTCTTATGATTTCCTTTCTTATAGAAGAAAAGATTGAGATTAAGAGAGGTTCAGTGACTTGCTAGAGGCCACATAGCTAATAATGTCATCATCAGGCTTCCAGTTTAGTTCTTCCTGATTCCATTTCTGGTATTTTATCCATTGTACCGTGCTGCTTCTCCCAACTGTAAGGTTTGGAAATAACCTTAGGGATCCTTCAGTTCAACCTCATTTCACACAAGGGGAAACAGAGTTAAAGTGAGTTGCCCAAAGTCACACATCTGTTTAGTAGCAAAGCCACAATTTAAACATGGGTTTTCTGACTCAAATGTAAGCTTCATTGTACACCCCAGCTGCCCCAGAAACCTAACTGATGATTACTCTTAAATTTAGATCCTGTTACCTACAATTGGGCAAAAATTCCATAGGGGGAAAAGGGGATGGGCTATTTCTGATTTGAAAGGAAAATGGGATTGCTTGTAATACCTTTAAATATCATTTTTTTCCTCCTCTATGGATCATACAGAAAAACTCAAGCTGCAATCAACTCAACT